ATTAAAGAAAGGGAAAATAGAGGATCTAGGGAACTACAGACTGATCAACCTCACCTCAGTCTCTGGAAAAGTCATGGAGCAGGTCTTTCATAGAGTCATAGAAAAGTATGGCTGGAAGGGACCCCTGGAGGTCATCTAGTCCAATCCCCTGCTCAAGGCACGGTCATCCCTATCCAAACCATCCCATGCTTGTTTAACCTATTCTTAAAACTATGCAATCATCCTTGTCGCACAGCTACAAGACATATTGCCTAGACATCAAAAGCTGCCCAATCTGCCACTTAAAGAATCCATTTCTCAGCACTTGGAGGAGAAGAAAGTGATTAGGAACAGTCAGCATGGATTCTCCAAGGGCAAGTCATGCCTGACCAATCCGATTGCCTTTTATGACAAGATGACTGGCTCTGTGGATGCGGGGAGACTGGTGGCAAGGCTTTTGATACAGTCTCCCACAACATTCTTGCAGGCAAGCTGAGGAAGTACAGGTTGGATGGATTGTAAGGTGGATGGAAAACTGTCTGGATCATCAAGCTTAGAGGGTAGTAGTCAATGGCTAGATGTCTAGTTGGCAGCTGGTATCAAGTGGAGTGCCCCAGGGAGCTGTTTCTGGGGCCAGTTTTGTTCAATATATTCATCAATGACCTGGAAATTGGCATAGAGTGCAGCCTCAACAAGTTTGCAGATGACACCAAGTTGGGGGTAGTAGTAGATGTGCTGGAAGGTAGAATTAGGATTCAGAGAGACCTAGACAAATTGGAGGATTGAACCAAAAGAAATCACATGAGGTTCAATAAGGACAAGTGCAAAGTCCTGCACTTACGACGGAACAACCCCATGCACCGGTACAGTGCCGTGGCAAGGCAGTTTGGCGCCCGGGGCAAAGCCCACAGTGGCAGCCTGCCCTCACCCCACGCACGGATCTGGGGGTTACATGCCCCGCCATGCTTGCCTGGGAGTGCACACAGCAGCAGAAGCCGCCCTCCCCGTCCCCCCAAATGATTAATCGAGTCTGCTCTGACGCACTATAATTACAGTGCATCGGAGCAGCCCCACTGCATGTGTATAGGGTCCTAAGGCTCTATTCTGCTCTACCTTCTGCTTAACAGAAGTACTTTACAAGAGCTATGTGACCTGCTATGTTAATCCAAAATAGCTCATACAGAAAGGCACATGTAAGTCAGCACATAATTCAACAGATAAATTGAGCCTTTATCAACCTCCACAATTAAAAAAAACTCATCAGGGACAAAATGCCATAGGCACATTAGCAGTCAGTTCAGTCAAGGTTTCAAGAATGATTATGATGAGCAATTCGAAGCCTGATTACAAATCAGGGCCTTGGAACATGCTTGTGAGTTATTAGCCAGTTATTTACTAAGACCATCGTGTTGCAGGAATGAACATATGGCCAGGGTCCCTTTCTGGCTGTGGGAACAGTCCATGAAACCTGTCCTGGCTGTACTCCATGCAAACATGGACATGATGTTCAGAGTCCATTAGGTACAAAAAAACCCCAAAAAACTGCACACAGGTTTTGGAATACTGGTTTCAAAATAATTTTGGAGGCAGTGCCATCTTGCTTCCAGCCTTCCCAATGCACAGTCCACCACCAAGTTGCTAAAAGTGAAGTGGAATGTTCTGCACATAAATAAAACCAGCTGTTTAAATCAAGGTTTCCTGCCTGCCGAGTCTGCACTGCTGAAGATTACATTGTAGTGGCTCCAGCATGTGTATTTCCTAGATTTCATAGACGTCAGGGCTGGAAGGTACCTTGAAGATCATCGAGTCCAGCCCCCTGCTCAAGGGGCAGGAAGTCAGCTGGGGTCAAAGGATCACAGCAAGATAAGCATCCAAACATTTCTTGAACGAGTCCAGAGCTGGTGTCTGCACCACTTCTGGAGGGTGTCTATTCCAGGTCTTGGGGGCTCGGACAGTAAAGAATTTTTTCCTTATGTCCAGCCTAAAACGGTCTTGGAGGAGTTTATGACCATTGGTCCTTGTTTTCCCTTGGGGTGCTCTGGTGAACAGACATTCTCCCAGATCCTGATGTACACCACTTGTGTACTTATAAGCAGCCACCAGGTCCCCTCTGAGCCTGCGCATTTCCAGGCTGAAGAGTCCCATGGCTCTCAGCCTCTCTTCATATGCCCTCAATTGAGGACGTTGGCCGTGAAAGGCTGGGGCTAACGGGGCTTAGCCCCCACAAACAGAGGGCAGTAGGTAGGGCTACAAGGCACTCTGGCCACAGGCTCCGGGTGGCTGCAGCAGGGCTGGGAAGAGGCACACATGCAGCCAGGCTTGCAGCCCAGCATGTGGAGGACTGGCTGTCCAGCAGGGAAGGCAAGTACCAGTTGATTCTGTGAAGGGGCAGATTGAGGCCCCTGCAGTGAGAGTGAGGCAGGGGCAGGTGCTAGGGTGAATGGGGCCCAACTGGGCCAGGTGGTGAGACAACTGGAGCCCACAAGGCTCACCTAGGTGCATTGGGGGGGAGGGGGGGGGGTCCCGCCACTGTGTGCATCCCAGTGGAGGCCTGGGGAGCACATGCCCCCTGGGTCTGTGTGCGGGATGGAGGCAGCTGCTGTTGCGCGCTGTGCTTTGCTCGCCACTGCAGTGGTGCAATACCATGTGCCTGCCATTGTTGGGCTGCACTGCGCCCCCTGCCCGCCCAGCAGTGGGACACACAAGGCATTGTGTGACACTGGAAACAGCTGCAGTGGGGCACAAAGCGCAACAGCTGCCTCTGCTCCATGCCCCCCAGGTCTTCACTGGGGTGCACACAGCAGCAGGAACCCCCCTCCCCTCCCCCCCCTGCACAGATGAACTGCCTAGGCTCCAATTGTCCCACCACCTGGCCTGGCCAGGGCCCCATTCACCCCAGCCCCTGCCCTGCTCCCGCTGTCCCTCACCGCAGGGGCCTAGATCTTCTCCTGCCCCCCATGACTTTCGCCCAGTCCCTTCCCCAACAGACTTACTTGCTGGGTGAAGGGGGGGGCATTTGTGCACTCAGTCCCCCCCCACAAATTTTTTCTCCCTCCACCTATGATTGAGGGTGAAAGGAAAGGTATCCACTGCATACAAAGACAAAGCTATCTCCATTGCAGATGCGTCTTCATAAAGCATTTAATGGCACTTAATCACCAAATTAAGTTAGGGTACTCTGCACACACCAACACCAAAGCTGCACAGAGGATGGGGGTTTGCCAAAAAGCCACGTATGGGCTTCCTCCCCACCCCCCTCCCAGGAACAAAGTCTGGTGTCTTTTTTGGGCCCTTGCCAATCATCCCCCCAACCCACAACCTCATGATGTGGCACTAAAACGAGACATGATACCATGGGTTGGGCATCACACCATGGCACAAGCAAACTTACCATGTTCAGGTAAAGACTGGCTTCTGTGCATTGCCTTATGCTGGCTGGGTCCCTGAGGCTGGGAGGAGGGCAGCTTTGCTGGGAGTAATGTGGGCATTGGTGCGGAGCTTGCATGGGCACAGAAGGGTGGAGAACCAATTTGCAACTAGTGGTCCAGTAATGGGAGAAGAATTGGGTCTGGTCACTGTCGGACTTAGGGTCCATCTCCATGTCTGTGCTAGTGTCCTGAAGAGGTGAGGAGCCCTTGATCTGGCTCAGCTCCACAGTCATCTCCTCGGTTGCCATGGACCTACGCAACCGAATAAGGCCCCCAGCAACAGTCTCATCTGAGTCACCATCTGAATCACAGGAAATGAGGACTATGTCTACGATATTCTGACACTTGACTGTCATTCACTGGGAGGATATGTGACAGCTCCTTGTAGTAGGTGCACTGCATGCACTGGACACAGTTGGTGTCATGGGTCTTTATGAACCATTGCTGGAGGACCTTGTGCTTCATATGGCACTGTTGCCAAGTGTAGTTGTGTCCACGGGCTTTCATTTTCAGTGATCTTTTTGAAGACCGCCTAGTTGAGGTGGCTGGAGCAGAACATTCACTGGCTCCCCACCTCTCCCCAGGTGCTGACCAGATCCTCTACCTTGCCCCAGTTCCAGTCATTGCTGTGCTTGCAGACAATGCTAGTACTATTTGTTGGAGCCATGCCTCACAATGAGATCAGGATGTCCTTGGAATGAGTGATGTTCAAGACCAGGTTCCGGTGCTGACCTCGGTGTGAGCATAAAATGGATGCCAAGTTGTCATTCAGGCCATTCAAATGGTAAATAAAGCCAAGTCAGCTTGGGACATTCGAGTTCTGCTCCCCTTGCTAGAGTAGCCACCCCACAACCAAGAGCAGCTGGGGTTGAGCTGGAAGCAGTGCATTATGTGAAACTTGAAGGACAGCATGGCTAACTCATCCTGGGATGCTGACCTAGGATAACCACAAAGGACTCCGCCATGTCCTGGGAGAAAGTGATGGCACATTTTAATCTGCATACTCTGGCAGGACTTCTCTTGGGACAATTCATACATTTCCCCATCCATTACAAAAGAGTTTCATGGGAGTTGTATCAGGCAGACACTGGGTGTGTCTACACCTGTATTTACACGCACCTTTACTTAAGGCACTTTAGGCATGTGTCTACATGCGGACATGCTAGTGTGCATTAAGACGTATTAACTTTAGGCACAAATAGCTAAATTGCATTAGCACATGTGCAGAGGTGCTAATGTGCATTAACGCGGTGCATATCCATTGACACACACCATATTAATGCACATCAGCACGTCTACATGTGCGCTAATGCAACTTAACTATTTGCGCCGGAATGTGATACCTGTTTTATACAGGTATCAAATTTAGGTTTACATAGCCTTAAATCTCCATTTTTAAGGCATATTAAGGGTGCACACGTGTAAACACGTGCCCTTAATGTGCCTTAAAAATGGCGATTTTAAGCTAAGCCCACTTAAAAGAGGCACGTATAGACACACACACCCACTGTGTATGGAAAGGTTGCTATCCTGTTCAACAAGGCTTTGTTTGATGTAGAAAACACAGCCCAAATAAGTAGGGAGACATAAATGCTCAGTAAAAATACCACGTTTATTGACAGTGCTGATAAACACATTTGCATTGCTGAGTGGATTAATAGAAAAGCCATTTATATGTCAAGATGAATTAAGGCACCTTATGTGATCAATTAGATGATATTTTTAATACAAAATAAACACTTAGAAAATTAGCAATGTCATTGCTCATCTCAATTCCTGAGTTGTAGAAGCTGAGAAATTATGGCTGGAAACAGACATCACCTTGATACCACCATAAAAATGTTTATGGTGGCACAAAGGCCAAGCAAACAGATGTGTATGCCCCCTGCTGTGCCATAAATGCTCACAATTGTGGCTGCAACAGTAGGTGGTATAAATTGGCATCACTTGTGTCAAACATCTGTTTGCTTGTTGCAGCTCCACACTGCCTGCACAAACCTGGGGGCACCTGCCTGGGTTCCCGTTTGCAAAGGCAAACCCCAGGAATCCTCTGGCAAGGAATTTCCCAGGAATGGGTACTATGCCTTGACTCAGGACTCAACTCTGAAAATGGGGGAACCCCAGGTTCCTCACTTGCAGATGCATGCCCCAGGAATCCCCTTGCAGAGGATTCCTTGGGCATACACATTATGCTAATGTGCCCCAACTCAGGATATGTGCAGGGTTCCCCTGTTCGCAGCTGCTCCACAGGATTGGGTCCCCAAAGCCTTGAGAGAGGCAGGGGCCCAATCAGAAGGTCAAAAGGTGATGTTAATGTTACAAAATGAGGTGAATCACCAGAACACATTCCATAATAAAAACAGTGTCTGTTTTTAGCCTATGTTCCCTCTCTGTCGCATAGTTATATGCTCCCTGAAATCAGCAGTGGATTTTCATCAGCCATCAAGCTGCGGGGTATATCATAAAGGGTTTGTCCATCTAAATTGACAGTTGCATGCAAGGAAACTTTCTGCAATCAAAAAGGAGAGAAAAACAAATATAAATGATCAGAGCTCCACTATTCATTCTGTCCTTTCCACAAAGTAACATTTATAGGCAAGTGCAACATCTAGAAATGCGTATCACTCAAAAGCCATCTTTTCTGCTAAGAATGCAAACTACGGAATAACGTAGAAAGTAGCTCTGAGACTCACTGAGGAGATAATATAGTATTGTCCAAATTTCCCTCATGTCTGTGGTGTAAAGACTCCGTAGATCAGGAAGTAGATAACTGTCTGGTATATATTGGTCACAACACTGAAAGGACAGCAGATGCGAATAGGGTGGCAAATCAGCTTTCATAGGATAGCAAACTAGCACCCAGTTTTCAGCTGCTGGAAATGTTCATAAACATTCCTCTCTTCTGCTATTGTTCCCCATGTTATTCCCAGAACTGTGGTGTTTCTGCAGTACTTAAAGGAAATGTAAATAGTTAATAACTATTCTAGTCATTGCTGATTGATATAATTCGTAGCTACAGTACAAGGAGTAAATCCAGTGACCAAGAAGGAACAATTTTTATTGTAATGATATTGATGGTAGCAACCCATTTGTTATTTTAATTCGGCAGAGACCACTGTGCCTGAGTTTAGTAGCTGTGCCTCTCATAGTTGAAACATATTTTATTTATTTTAAAATATACTACAGATCATTTAATACAAACTTCACTTTACCTGAAAATCACGGATATAGGTGAGGAAAAAGGAGAGAAAGGAAAAAGCCAGAGACCATTCTGACACTGTGCTGATGATGTGAACTGTGTAACCCTATATAAAAGAAAAAGGAGCTATGTCATGAGCCTGGTCTTTCAGTTCCCAATGGTGGAAAGCCTTTATTTCTGCATTTAAAAAAAAATGCTTTCACAGACTTTTCCACATTTAACATCACTGCTACAAGAAAGAGGTATGCTGATTTCATCTGGAGTCTGGGAGCAAATGCTTAAAAAAATTAACTCCTGAGAAGACAGCTGAACAAAGCCCCATTCAATTGTCTTACAGAAGGCAGGTACATTGTAGACATTAGTTCTAAGGTACATAGGACTGGACTGTAGCTTTCACCATCAGCCTAGATAAGCCACACAGGAGAAAACTCTGGTGGGAAGATTATTTCCTGGGCTTTCTAGGGAGCATATGGTGCAGCAGCTGCTCTGCAACTGTGAGAACGGATGCGGTATATAGTTCCTTTCATGCCAACACACTCAGTTACATCATAGCGGGGGAATGGGGGAAGTTTCATCACAAACATTACCTTGACTCCAACCCTGCATTTGAAATGATGCGTTATCGAGACTAAAGCCTCTGAAGAAACTGACTGAAGTCTCACTTTAGACTTTTAGATTCAAGTTTTATGGGATAAAGGAAGAACGTGGTTTAATTCAGAATGTAGATGGCAACGGACAAAAGCCTTCTTTAGAAAAGTATTTCTATATTGCTGGAAAAAATCAAGCTCCTCCCTTGTATATGAATGGAATCAGAGACCTCCTCTACACTCATCAGGCAGAGAAGATAAAAACATCACACAAAACAATCTGGATGATTTTTGTTCCCTGCAGGTTTCTGTAAGTTGTACGGTATAACAACAATGACTTAAACTGTAGCTACATCACATGCATGCAGCTGATTTACCATTCTTCTCTTTTCTCCCCTCTCCATTTCCCCTTTGTCTCCATTCTTTCAATTCTTACTTAGTTCATTTATCCACTAAACAGCAATAATGAACACACAGACCTCATTTTGATTCTAACATGTTACCATGTAAAGTACAACTGAATTAACTTAACGCTGATGACAACTTTGGGGTCAGGAGAGATAAGGCCAAGTCTTATTAAGCATCATATCAGCTAGTCCTGAGTGAACCTGCAAGTATCCAATTATAACTGCAGCTGTTGTTTTTTTCACTGCAAAACCCAGCCTAACACATTACTACTCCATGAAACATTAAATCTAATTTACTCCGTGGATCTACAATCATTAATGAAACATCCATATATGAATATGAAATACCAGAGCAAGAAAACCAAATCTTCCTCCATTATTATCCAGGGTACTCCAGTAGCCTGAGTGCTCAGCAGCCAGGAAAGGCATGGAATAGCTGTTATACTCTTAAATCTGTGTGTGTGTAAATAAACCTGTGTTTTTATGTATTTTATATATAAACTGTGTACACCCAACATCCTTTATGGGTTTTTTTTTCTTTTTCATTCTGTTAAAACCAGGCCTACCTTCTCCTCTGGATTCCAATGTAGCTTCTGCTCTAGACCAGTTCCATAGCGGCCGCTGAGCAAAAGTATTGTTGAAATAGCCACTATAAGGAAATAGGTTAAGGAATATCTGAGGCACTAAACAAAAAACACAGAACCGTCAAATGCAGTTGTACATTCAATTTCATCCTGTAGTTTGTAAGAAGAAAGCAAAGGCACACCGCAGAATCTTTTGCATATCAATACCCAGGGCTATATATGTATCTTGTGCTTCACTGTGCTCCTGCACACATCCACAGGACTGTGTATACATCCTCGGTTCCCTTAAAAACAGAGTCCGTTACAACTGAGGACTGAAAGCAGGGATGGGAAGAAGGAGAGTTCTTGGGATTCATACTGACTCTGTATCTTTAAGGCTGCCAACAGGTGATACATTTATCCCAGAATAAATGTTGATACAATGTAGTAACAGTTTATCATGGTGTATTGCAAGATACATCTGTACACTTATTCCAGGACTGCAACATAGAAATAATGGAAGAAAAGCAGCAGTACATTCAGCTGCTCATTAAACCCTGATTAGAAGCGTGATGTGTACAAGCAAATCCAAGGACATTTTTGTCCTGGGACAAACGCAGGCACTTTATCCAAGGATAAATGCAAAATCTGTTCCAGGGCTATGAACCACAGTTACTGGAGGGGAGGGAACTGTTCCTTCTATGAGGTATGTTACTGTGCAGCCTATTGTAGGTGACAAAAATAATCTCAGGATAGTGGGAATGAGTATCAACTGTATCAGTGAAATAGTGGTTTTAGCACTGCACTCCTCAATTTGACATCTGATCTAGCAGCTAATTCAGTGTATACTGCTTCAGACATGGGAAAGGAGAACTTGTCTTACACAGTTCTGATAGCATCGCACTGCAGAAACAGGCCAAGGATGCTGTTTAAGCTCTAGAGGCACGGGAGCCTAGAGCCTCTGGCTGCTGTTACAGCGAGAACGATGGGGCGAGTGATAGCTGGGTAGGAGCCCAAGGGCTGCAACTTAGTTAGCACATGTGGCCCACAGGTCCCACACTGTATAGCCCCAGTCTAGCTAGTAATACTAGTGTTAAGTCATATTTCACAACAAAGGATACTGCTCAAAAGGCTTGATACGCACCATAACAATAAGGTCAGCCGAATCCAGAAGATTTCTTTGCCATGAATATCTGGCTGCATCATATAGGAAAGGATAGTCTGAATCAGAAGGTAAAAGGCCCCTATTCCAAACGTTAGAGAGGCTCCAAGCACGTGCACGGAATACATAGCACTTTTCTAGGGAGGAAGACAAGTGTAAATACGTGAATAAAAATCATAAAGAACAGAATCTAGTAACTACAGTACAACAGCTCTTGTCAAGTCAGCCAGAACTTATTTTTGTAAAAGCTTTCCTTGGTGCATTTAGCAACTCTCATGAAGATCTTTCCACATCTCAAGCTAAGCTGAATTGGGACAAGGTCAGTATTTAGATAGGGGATCTCAAAGGAAAACCCAAATATGGACAGGGGGTTAACACCACTGCCACTCACTCCCGCTCCTTATCTGCTTCCAAATTTCCAGTTTTCAGTCATTGCTGTCGACTAACTTCAACATTAGTTGTTAACAGGAAAAAGGGGATAAGCAACAGAGGTGTTATCCCCCCTGGGTGCTCACTGTGCTGACAGCAGCTCCAGCAGCCACTGCAGGAAGTCCTGAAGCCTGGATCTGGACATGGGTCATTCAGCCTGCAAGGAGTCCTGTGGGCAAGAAGACCCACCCTTTGACTATGGCTCACTCCCGGCTGCTGGCAAGGAATATGACCTGCCAGCTCATTTGAGCTTCACACCCCTGTTTTAGATTAAATAGAAAATGTATGCCTTCGACTCTTGTAGCCACTAACCATAACCTGTGACTTAACCATGAAGATGTATTGAAAGAAAAATGGGATGCAACACACAAGCTAGAAAAAATAAATCCCTACAAGTGGGCAGGTAAGGAGATGACATATGGGGCTAGATATCCTATTAAGCTCTTCAACCCTAATTTGTACTCTGATGAACACAAGATCACACATAGAGGAGGTACGATTAGAATGTGATCAGGAACTGAGAATGTGATTCTGCTCTGAAAGGTGATTATAAAAATGGAGTCGGTGGGCTTCAGTGTTAACGCTCTCTTCAGTACTCTAGTTCTAACTGGCTCAGGTTACACAGAAGCCTTTTCTGCCTGCCAGTTCTGCAAACTCCACCAAGCTCACATCTCTCTTTGCTGTGCATCATCAAAAGTAATAAAGGTTCGCTAGACCAAATTAGGTTCTGAAAGCGATAACCAATGTAACACCATTGAAGGTACCTATGCAAGCATGGTGCTTAACTGATTGGAATTTAAAAAACAATTCTTTTGATGTAGAAGAAAGAGCTATCGACTCACTCCCCTGTGGGTATAATTCAATCATCTGTTCTAATGGCAGTTAAAAACAACAAACCCCCCTGGCTATTAAAACTGCTAAACAATAACTTAGTACGTGCAAGGAATAGGGTCTGCTAAATTAAAAAGTGCCTTTAATTTATTTAAAAGTAGAATCACACTTTTAATTAAAGAATCGAAGAGCTGCCCAAACCCAGTGGCTCGTCAAGCTAGCTAGCATAGCAGGTTCTGTAGCCAGTAGCACATAAGGGTGTGACAGGGCTACATAACAACTGGCCATCTTTGATTCCTCAGCCTGACTGACCAAGCAGGCATTTACACCAAGATCAAATAGGGGTAGTTTTTTGGCATGAGTCCAGAGGGAGATTAAAACTTGTATCTCTGGATTCATAGCAAGACACCAGCACCTCTTAGCTACCACAGCAAAATTAGCAGAATATAAACCATGAACTGTAACGGTGGCAAACTGTGACAAAGATGGAATGATTTTTTTTAAATACCCGTCAAAGAAATGTATACTTTACTATGAAGAAATAAAAGAAGGGTACATATAGTCTCGTCTTCTGCCTGCAGTCAGTAACCAATACCTGACACTTAAAAGGAAGAAGAATGGGGAAACAGCTCCTTACCAATTGTGAAAGGCTGCCTAGGCAAAATTAAAATAGTCTACAGGACTAAGAAAGGGTTCTTCTTACTTGATGCAGGAGACTGGCTCTCTCTCAGCTGCATTATTACAAATGAGAATGAGTACTGTGGAATTAATCAGTCCCTTACAAAATCTGGTTGTGTAGATTATATGGCAATAAATCCTAAAAGCTGACTATGGTTGAGGACGGATGTGGCTTTCAAATACTTTAAAGGGGGAGGGGGAATTGCCAGCCTGAAACTCGCATCAGCTGTTACATCAGCCTGCTCCTGTACCATTAGAGGCAAGCTAAATCGCTTTACTTTTAATTCTGAATGAAACAGAGTTACTATGTCTGCCTACATATTCTGTGCTTCTGTACTGTAAAAAAGGGAGGTCAAATTCTGTGCTGCTGTACTGCCATCTAATGGTCCAGGTGCAAAAAAATACAGGTGGTCACAAGCACCACCAAGGATAAACAGCAGATTTTCTTGGGTTGGGAACTGAGCAGCAAGGCTATAGCAAAATAATTACTCTGCTCTAGCTGTGCTGTGGTAGTGTTAGAGCGATGCTGTAGTTACGACGGTCCAGGAATTATGGATTATGGACACAAGGATTTTGTGGGGAGAGAGTTTCATAGTAGAGATACCTTTTATTGGACCAACTCAATGGTTGGAAGAAACTTAGATCAATCAAGTTAGACAAACTTATGAATGCAAGACATTCACCGTCAGATCTGAGGAGGGAAGCAAGGACAGTGACAGCTGACAGTTAAGAACTGAGAATAGAGCTGTTAGGTTTGGAGGCTGCTAATTCTGCTAATGGTTTGCCTATTACCTCTGGGATTTCCTGCCCGCCCCCCACCCCCAACCTGACAGCTCTATTCTCTGTTCTTAACTGTTATATCACTATCATCCAAACACATCCTTGCCTCTAACTATGCTGGTCAAACTCCCCAGGTAAGAGCCTCCCCAGTAGCCCAGCTTTAGCAGGAGGAGTAGAGGGTACACTCAAGTCTATCCCATCCCATACCCTAAGTTGTTATACCACTTTCCTGTGAAATGGGAGATAGAAATGGGTTTGAGCACCCTCTGGTTGAGGTGATCCTTTAACTGGGCCCTCCCCTTCATGGGTGAGTGGTATAACCCCTAGCAAACTGAGAAAAAAACATGGACTCATTCACCTCTTCCTCCTCCTCCATTAGGCATATTAAGAATACACCTAATGGATCAGGTCCTTTAGGGCAGTGGTTCTCAACTTTTTTTATACCAAGACCCATTTGTAAACATCGATGGCCAGTCCCAACCAAGTACAGTAAAATCTCAGTAAAATCCAGCCTTTGAGTAACTGGAACACTATTAGCCAGAATTTCTGGCGGGCCAGCAGGATGCAGGCATGGGGGGGTGGGAAGAAAGCTCACACATGGTGGTGGTGGCCACTGCCACCCACCCCCCTGTGCTGCAGCCGCTACAGTGTGTGGCCACTGACACTCCCCTGCCACCCCCAATGCCACTCCGCGCCCGGCCAAAAACTGCCAGCCTCAGATAACTGACATTTTTAGATACCCAGCACCCCCCATTCCCCACTCATACCGGATAACAGGGATTTTACTGTAAATAGCTTAAGTAGAAAACACACAAGCATTTTGGCCCCAAAATACTTATTACATGCTACAAGTTAAAACACCTCAACAGTCTTAGTTTTAAAGACAGAAATCAGTATCAAGAGGAAAACATTAACAGCGATAGCAACATGTGGCCCTACATTCCTCCCAAGTGACATTCATGCTTTTCCATGTTTTCTGGGATTGTTTGCAACCCTTTCATATACTCTTGCGACCCACTTTTGGGTCACAACCTATGGATTGACAAACACTGCTTTAGGGAACTCAGTGTAGGGAGGAATGATCTGCAGATCCCACACAGCCTTAGGCAGGGCAGATCCCACGCAGCCTTAGGCAGACATTTAACAGATGTAGAAATGAATAAGTAAGCTGTATTAATGAATGATTAAGCATGTATTACATAATACTTGCAACCTGATGTAGTATACCACAGCCCTGAACATGATGTGTCATGCTTTGGATGCGACTTTTTGAAAGATCATCAGTTTTTGAGAGAACAAAAACTGAGACCAGTGATTCGCAACCAGGGTGCCAGGGCATGCTGGGCCAGACCTTTTGAAGGGTGTAGTGAGGTGCAAGGAGATAAGCAAAGTGTTAGGAGATAAGCAAGGTGTTAGGAGATAAGCAGGTAAACTAAGCAGATAAGTGTAGGCTTAGGCTTGTCCCTGTCTGGACAATCCCCCAGCCTTACTTCCTTACAGAGAGGCCTAGCAATAAGCACTATAATCTATAAAATAGTTCCTGAAATTAGGTGCCACTCAATTCACAGGAGTTATGGAGGGGTGCCTTGAGTTCAGTGAGGGATGCCTCAGGTTCAGAAAGACTGAGAATCATTGACTTAGATTACAGAAGTACTGTGGAAAAAAGCAGATGACAGAAGTGGAAGAGACAGAGCTTGGAATTTTTCAAGAATTTATCCTGTTCTGAAGGCGTGCACATGTACAGTCCACTTGTCAGACACGCTGAACAGAACTGGCTGAAAGTTGGATTTCTTTTTCAGAGAAACATCAACATTTAGAAATTTATTTTTATTCCAATTTGGAAATAAGATTTTCAAAATTTTCCACAAAATGAAAATTAAAAAAAAAAAATGGGTTTGGAATTTTATGTACTACTATTACTGACATGTCACTTAATGGAAAAAAATTAAAATAGATGAGAAATCTATAAAATTCCAACATGAAATGTCAAAATTTTGGGTATTCGCCAAAAAACAAACTAGTTTCCAAAATGATTTGATTAAAAAACAAACAAACCCAAAACTTTTTTTGTCAAATGCTGCAGTGAAAAACTTCTGATCAGCTTTAGTACTCTTTATCAGTATCTAAATAAAGTCAGAGAAGTAAAGACAGTGTAACTTAGCTCAAAATATTTTTTAATGGTTATCATTCTACTACAATTTCCAGAAAAATATAAATAGAGCACAAACCTGAAAGTTTGTAATAAGGCACATTCCAAAGCAACTTATCACTCCTAGTATAAGACCAGTCTTATTTAATTTGGCGATCTTGTTTTTTTCTGGATTCAGAGCACAAACTTGTTTATAACGAACGTACATGGTAGCAATACCTGTGAGGAACCCAAATATAGTGACATATTTAAGTAAATAAGGAGACTTTTTAGACTGTAAAAGTGATGAGCAAGAGGTAACTCCTGTTTAAATTGCAAAAGCTGTATTATTGCCATACTAAGCAGAGTAGAGAACTCACAAGTCAGGAAACAGGGAAGTTAAATAAGAACTGTGCAATTATCACAAGTTAGCCTCACAATTAAGGTTGATTAGTATTTGTGATTCCAGATTAAACTGATTTTTGCAGACATTTGAGAGACAATTCCTACCCCTGATAATGTCATTTAAAAGGGAAGATTTGTTGCCTTAAAGACTAAATCCTATTCTAGTTTTACACACTTAAGTGACATTTATGTAGCCACATAACTGCAATTTTTGGCACTTTCAGTTTTGATTCTATTTCCACTTGCCGCAATTATGCTTCTCCTGGGCTTCTCTGCTGAGCCTGCTCAGAAGACCGCACCTTGGCTGCACACAGAACTACTCAGGCATACATGTTATGCCAATTAAATCCCAAAACATTAGTCATAGAAAAATCATGACCAGTCAGCACTTGAAGCTGGATGAAAAGGGGGAGAAAGAGGAGATGTTCCTCCATCTTTTGGTCCAGTAAATCTAGTGGTTAAGGCACTTACATAGGGAGCAGAATCTATACGCTAGGTCCCCCACATCCAGAAGAGATTCAAACTTGCATTCCACACTTCTCCACAAGTGCTCTAACCACCAGGCCAAGGGCTAAGCATTGTCTAAAGCATTTCTCAAGCCTCGTCTTGAAGCTGGCTCCCTGGGCAGCCCTCATAGGAAAATATGTGGGGCCAGAAGAACAAACTACAGGGAATATGGTTCAGTGAAATGGATGCTGCCTGGGTAGAGAGGTAGCTCTGGGTCCTACCCACAGTCTCTGCACTGTTGGGACAGAAACGACCTCACTGTTGTTTATCCATTTTATTCAATGAATAGTAAATTAATTGTGCAGAAAATGCAGGGGACAGAACCTAGCCTTCCTCCTCATACCAGGGCAGCAGTGGTCTTACTGAGCCACCTGCCATCTACATTTTGCCCCTTTTCCTGCTACTGTGCATCTTTCCTTTCTGGCTGTGTAATGGAACAGCTTCAAGAAGAGGACTAAGCAACGTTCACCCCATGGCCTGGAACAGAACTCTGCCGGGAAACAGGACATGCAGGTTCAAATCCCCTCTGTCTGCCCAGCGGCTGTATAGATTGCGCTCTTCAGCAGGGCTTTTTGGCACTCCTTTCTAACAGCCGATTCAATTAGTGGAAGCGCCCTAATTTACCCTACTTTAGTACTGAAAAATACGTGGATACCTGGACAATGCTATTCTGATACATGCCTGTGCCTAAGCACCAAAAAGTGCAGTTACCAATCAGTGCCACTTAAGAATTAGTTCTGATCAGCATTTCACACCTTAAGATGTCTGGATTTCTTTTATATTTAACTCTGAATTTCTTGGATTCAGAGTACACCCCTGTAACGCATTTTACTCTAAGTGTTCTGTTTTAACTATCAATGTAGCTTTTCCCTGGGAAGTATATGTAGCTTAGTGACCTAGTTGAGAAAATTTTAAAATTTAGAGCTGGTATTTAATGTGCTTTCTAGAATCGTCTACAATGTGTTGGTTTCTTTACTTACATAAGGAAGTGGATATATTCAACATAATCCCAAACAAACATCTTTCAGGAGGCATTATTCCTGTATCACTGGACGAAAAACAAAGAGAAATAAGGATTTTCATCATGTACTGTGATTTCCTATATACCGAAGCATCTTTGTGAGGGGAGGGATGAAAAGGAGGAACAGTTTCATAAAGCCTTTCAAGCAACTTTGACCAATTTGATTTTCCCATAGTTATCATGCTAGCTTCTAGAGCTGGAGACACCAATAATAATGTTTTGTTAGGGCGACAATGTTTTCTTCAGAATAGAAAAAGAATATATAGCCCATCATAGTCATCCTTTGTATGTTTATTTTAAATCTACATCAAAAGAAATATTAAAGAATATTAAGCCTTGAAAATGAAGCACACTGTAGTCTGAAAAGGCCAGAGGTCAGGCTTATTTGAACCTCAACTCAGTCCAATTGGGCATACAGATTCAAATACAGATATCAATTACATGGTTACTTTGGTCATAGGATTCCTGCCTCACCTTACATTTGGGTTATGACTGTACTATGAACAAGACAGCAGTTAAATATTTTAACCCGTTTCTTCAATATGTGATTCGTGCCTCATTCACCAAATAACAAGGCAGATTTAGAGAGAGAAATGTTTAGTTTTTAACTTCTGAGAATCTCAGATGTTATTCTGCATCTCTGTTACACCAAGGTGGAACTCTTGAGTAAATGTGTTATCAGAGCTAAAGCTTGAGCAAGCTAGAACATCAAACTTCCTGAGCATGTTCCACTCTCAAACTCCTCCACTAAAAATATTTTAACATAAATAAAGAGAAATATTAGAAAAGAAAAATTTAAAAAAGACTATGTTTATTACACTTAGTGAATCAGAAAGAAATTAGCCCCTGTTGAGAGAAGCACTGAGAGGCCTCAATACACTTGATACTTATTTGCAAGAACACCTAATAAAAGCAAGAAATCTCTTGTTAGCAACATTTTCCTGGTTACATTTTCTGCACTATGTCTTCAGATGGTGAGCCCTATAACAACAATAGTCACTTCATCAACATATTGCTACTGATAGCCAAGGGCACCCTTTAAATCCTACTAAATGGTGTGGCTCTGCAAGCAGATTACTGAGAGTTAAGATGCAGTAAGATAAGGTAATACACAAAGCGAGTTACCTACTCTGTGGTAACTGCATGCATGCTCTTACTCAACAGTACAGGTGATCCAGCTTACCCTCCTGAGGGGCAAGCTACTGTCTAACGACTACAAAGCAAGAACAAATGTGTTGTTTGATGCTTGTATCTTTAAAGAAATCTTCAGGTTAATGTTAAAACCAGTCATTCAGAAATGTTTCTTTTAAATCAGTTTAAAATTTAGAACTGAAGCAGCATTTCCAGGAGAAAACCCTAATTCTGTTAATAAGATGAAACTATAGTTAGCAGTACAATCGGATGTGTTCACTGACCTGATGTAGGGCACCAGTGGATCAACATGGCGTAGAAAGATTGCAGTTATATATGGAAATATGAAAGATGCAGCTGTCCAAATAACCAAAGCTGATGGCAAGAAGCAAAGCCCTTGCTGGAACCACCACATTTCAGTATTTTCTCCTAAATCCAGACACTAAGAAGAAGCAAATACACAGTAGGTTTAAGGATTTTTATCTCAATAGTTTGGTTCTGAAGCTGAATCATGAACTGTATTACCATGCAATCTTTATGTAGGGCCTGCTGTGAATAAGCATAATAATATACAAGTCTTTTTTACCACAAAGACTATGTTGAGGCGGCTTGAATTTTGTATCATTTTCAGTTCTGCACTGCAAAACCAAGGCAAAGGCTAACAGGAAATCACTGCTTTTACAACATAGACACTACTTCAAAGAAGAAAACAGGAATTTCTTTTGGAAACTTTCATACTAAAACTCATATCAGAAAACCAGAGAAAGAATAAGGTCACTTTACTGCCTTTTTTGGCATCTGTCTATTGCCAGATCTGTCAAGAGGCTCACTTTACTTTATTAATTCTATTTTCTTCCTCTCCATGGTGTGCGTAACAGCTTATTGAGGTTAATGAGGATCAGAGGGTATAGCGACTGCAGGGAATAGAGAATATGCATCAACAATGACAGTTTTACTGACAAAGGAAATGGCAATCATAGAACCTTTAATGAGAATCCGGGCTTATTTTAGAAGTAAAACAAAAACATGAAAATATTACTAACATTTTCAATTCCTTAGCACCTGACATCTTACTAACTCAACACACATTATAACCTCCACATGAATAAATGCATATGATTACTTTATGCTAGCACCTTCAGAACCAGCCATCATCTAATTGGGATAGTGGTCGGGCAACTGCAGGAAGTTCCACTTACACACCTAGTTGTGCATGTGATTCCACGCTTCCACACCTTCGTTTTGAAAATTTCACCTTGAAAGCAAGACTGTACCTATACATCTAGCCCTGTGTGAGAAGTGTGTACCTCTGGAGCACAGAGAAGGATTTGTGTCTTCCCCCATCTCTGCTGGTAGAGGGGAGTAACCTTCTTTTAGCTCCAATCCAGTTCTGCTAATGTGTGGTCTTTTGCCGTAACCATCGTTACATTCTCATACTTGTGATCTCCCAAATGTACTTTAGTGAAGTAAAGAATACAGAAACAGATTAGGCCTACTAGAGATAAGGGACAAAGAGGTGAAAGACTGCAGATGGAACAGAGCACTAAACAGGGCAGAGAAAGCAGGAAGAGTGCACAATGTAGAGAGAGAGAGATTAGGTGCTGATTGGACAGGGAATCAGGAGAGAAAAAGATCAGAGAGACAACAATGCTCAATCCGTAAGTGAGAAGAAAAGATTCCTGATTATTCAGGTATAAGGAGAGGAAGTAAGAGAAGGAAAACTCTCAAAGGAGAGAGCAGATGCAAAGTCAAATAGAAATGTATCTCAGATTGAGAAGTTGAAAGACAAAAGAGATCATGGACTGAAGATAAACAAAGCAGGGAGAAGGAGAAAAGATGATGGCAGAAGTGTCCAAGAAGCAAGCATAAAGGCATGACCCAGATCAAGAATTGAAAAGGACAGAAATAGACAGCCAGATATGGAGACAAGATAACACAATGGTCAGAGGTGAAAACCCCTCCCCACACCCCAATGAGGTCTGAAGATGCTCTTCTACCCAGATTACCATTCTGATATGGACCAATCCAACCTCCTGATACAGGCCGGTACCCTCACCTTGCCCATGCTGCTCATGTCCTGTGATCTAACTATCTCATGTACTCCAGTAGCATACTGGAGTACATGGGATAGTCAGAAAATACTCCAGTTCCCATGGAAGGATGTAGGAGGTTTTCTTCAAACAGCACATGGCCGGTAGCTTCCCTTACTAGTTTCCCTGAAGCTAAGCCTTAATGTATATACCCTCATTTCAATCCCTACTCTCTGTGGGTTTTACCAGCTATACCACTAGCAGCACTCTTTGTCTACTCCTTACTGATAAACGTGGAACCTTTCTACCACAGATGGCATTCTACTGATAACAAGGGATCACCAGTAATCAGGTGCTGGAACCTTTGATACATGCCAAAATCTCACCCTGTTCTGGATAAAATCGGACAGATTATATCATCATGCAACAAAGATGCAGTTACACATCAGGCAAATATATTTTGTTGGGTAACGCATGAGGGTTTCCAACATGTAAGTGGTGAGGCAATGAGAGCACAGTAGAATTAAGGTTGGGTGTAAAGCTTAAGTGCAAGTATACTTCCAAGATTCATTTTAAACTATTAAAGTAACACTTGATATTTAATAGTGACTTTCACTGTAAGATTACAATGATTTTGAATATTTTAATGTAATCCCCACAACTGTAATACTGGTAAATTACATTTTCCCAATTTATAAATAAGGAAAAAAACCATAGGTAATATTCTTTATTCAAGATCACTCATAACATGTTGTATGAGCAGGAATATAATCCAAACCTCTCAAGTTTCAATCCAGTGATGATAAATGTTAATGTTCTTATTGTTCCCTTAAAATTCATAAAGGCATTGTTGTCTCATTTCTTTTCAAATAGATTTTGTCTGGGAATAGACACCGATTTGTCACATACCTGGAAATACTGATGACAGCAAGAATTCCGTCTCAAAGAGAATCCAAAATCATCTTTCTGCTAAAATTTCCTTTTTAATTTCTCCATTTTTCTCATTTTGTTCTAAATATCTTCAATACAAAAGAAAAATAATCAGCAATATATTCTATAGTTTGATGTCCCTGCCTTTGTGCCCTCTGCTTCTACAATCTCTTTTATCCTAGGGCACTATACTCTGCTTTAGTCTTTATTGACAAGCTCCAGGTTTTTCAGTCCCCTTTCACCAAACTTTCTTCCTTCTCCCTATTTTCCACATACAATTTGGCTTTATTTATGATTCATACCTGGGGAGCCATAGTCTTTCTTTTCCCCCTTACTCTAAAATACCAAACTCTCCTAACTTAAAACAGCGCAGACCATTCCCAGACCATTTAATTTAGGCCTCTTTCTTATCCAGAAATTACTAGGTTTTCTCCACTCCTTTTTTAACTAGGGACAGTAAGATTGCTGAGAGTTTCCAGATTCCTGTGTCTCCTTATCCAAACTATAGATTGATTACTAGATGGAAGGACAACTTCCTTGGTGTGAAGACCAAGTTCAAATGTATGTGTATAGATACAGCTAGCCCATCTGAGAAAAGCACATCTGAACTCCACAGGTGATGTTGGTTGTGCTGCACAAGGTCTGGATGCAGTCTCTCTGTTTTCCACATTGGTGAAAAACACGTCTACCAACCTCCTGAATTGTACACTGTAGCAAGGATATGAACAGGGGACTAATTATACATCAGTTAACACAGTAGGTTTTGTTTTCTTGAGTACGGCCCTAGTTTATTATCCAGACAAACCCAAGAACTTCAAAAAGGCTCAAAAACACGATTAGAGAATGTGTGCACATCCATCCCTCCTCACTGCCATTCAAAACAATCTCCGGTCTAGAAACCCTAGGGAATACTGGACTTGACAAAAGGAACATGGAGGGAGCAGTCCCCTATACCAACAATACAGTATAGTACAGGGGGTTCCCAAACAGTTATACAGGGGTACACAAGATATCTTTGGGGGGATATATGGGATCCCTGGGGGTACACAAGATATCCTTGGGGGATATATGGGAGAAATTGTGTAATGGCAGATTTAATTTTCATTATAATAATACTTGGCATTTAAGAGGTTAAAATATAAAACATATGCTGGAAGGGGTACATGGGCAGCTGGTAAAACTAGAAGGGGGTATGCAATAAGAAAATGTTTGGGAACCTCTGGTATAGTACATATTAAAACAGGCAGGGAATGCGTGAAAAGAAATATCTGGAGGACATTCTTCCTAGAAAACAATGGCAACATAGCAGGAGAAAAGAAGCTTGTCTGCACTAGAAGAGCTTCTACCATTACAGCTACACAAGAGGAGATATGTCCAAGTACTCTAGTGAAGATTCAGATTATAAAGAGATTTTTTGTACACCGGATTCCAGAATGATAAAAACTAAGACGGCAAAAGTGCTCTCCTATCAATATAGCTGTGACTACGTTAGGGGTTTTGTCAGTATATCTATGCCAGCTAGATTGTGTAATTTTAAAAGCCAGTGTAGTCATGCTGGCAAAACCTTGCAGCAGACATGGCTTAAGAAAGGAGATGTTGCTTTCTCTAGAACGCAGGCGGAAAAGCATTTCAGGCTGAGACTCATAGGGCTTGTCTATCCAAACAGATTTACTTCACACTGAAAGACACCAAAGTGTAATATCACTTTGCTTTGGGGCAACTGCACCTAAATGAACAGCCACCTCCCACCTCACCATGAATCACTGTTTCCACACAGGTGACTGGCTCCCTCAAGTACATCAAGATGTTTCTTTGTGCAACCAAATGCACAAGGAAGAATCTGACCTTGAGTGGTCATGACTATGAAGTTATAGAGGCGACACAGATACAGCAAGCAGCTGGTTCAAGGAGTGAACAAAAGGGAGTAGGAAGGTGGTTGGCAGATCACTAAAATATATTCAGCTAGGACACAAAGATCAGCCTGAAGTTGCTTATTGCAAGAAAAAATGACTCCAAGATTAAATGAGAACAAAACATTCAGATTTATATTGATGTAAAAAGTTGTATCACAGTTGTGAACACAGCTTTTATCTTTGGAAAAATAGGGTTTATGCCAGGATAACATATTCATGTAGATGAGCCCATAGGTCAAGGACAGAGGGAACCAGCATAATAAATCTAATCCAATTTCTTGCTTAATCCAGGCTATCAATTTTCATCCAGTAATTCCATACTGCCAACTGTTGTAATTTTATTTCAAAGTTTTGCAATGTTTGAATTTTTTCTTAAAGCATCTATTTCCAGCACCATGACAATATACAAAGTCTCAGCTTTAGCCGTTTTTTTTAATTAGGTTTCTAACTTCATTTATTGTAAAAAAATTCGAAAACATGAGACTAGAGACTCAAATACTAGAAGGCAAAAACAAAGAATCCCAAATCCATGTCAGTAAGTCTGATTTGTATTTGCTCAGGCAGAAATATATTTGTAATATTCATCCTGGGGCAAACAAACATAAAAGCTATACGTGCTCTTATGAGAAATTAAAATCATAAGTAAAAACTGCAACATTAGCTGGATATTAATATATTTTATTATGGGAGATCACTATATTAAAATATAATACAAGTTCAGACTTGAATACGAATAAACAGGATATACGTGAAAACATGTAGGTAGCATCCCTTATATTCAAGACTTTGTGAATATCTATAGTGTTAAGATTTTGCATATAGCCATCATAGTGCTATTCACTGGATGAGATCCCAGCTTCACTGAAGTTAATGACAAAACTCTTATTGACTTTAATAGGGTCAGCATTTCACCTAGCATTCAGAATAGCAAAGGAAGCTTTAAGAAACATGGTCAATTTTATTCCATTGAGGTTTAGGAGAAATGGGGAGGAGTAGTTGGTTTCCTGCTGAGTCTATGCCTGGATCTGACAGCAATATCATACCTTTTGTATTAATCTGTATCAGTGGTTCTCAACATTTTTAGACTCAAGGAACCTCTAAGAAAATTCTAGCTTGTAGTTTCTACTCCTCCTTTGACAACAGAAAAAGAATAGAATTCTTCTTCTTTTGTAAAGACTCAGAAAGACCACAACAGCTCAGACTGTATTAATACTATGAATTCCTATTTCAAATCTCTGGGTTTATTTTGGGAATCATATTTGCACACCTAACATTGCAGGGCACTGTGACACTCATGAAAAGATCTCATGGCACCCCAGGGTACTGCAGCACCTTGACTGAAAATTGTGGGTCTATATACATGCAGGGTTGCATAAGATCCCAAGGAATCAACTGCTGTACCATCTCCTAAGATGACATTTAAGATCAATAGGAAAAATTTTGCGTGCACGAGGCAAAAGTACTTCTTCTATGCTTTTTTCCCTAAATGACACTATCACATCTCAGAAATTATGCTAAAGACATTTCCATTTTCATGAAGATACAGCAGAATCATAAAAATGAGACACTGAAAGGTTTTTATGCTGATTCCAAAATCTTCAGTTATTTTGCCAATTGTAATGTTTTGATTTGCATGATCTGTATGAGGCACTTGCTGGTTTGAATGCTGCAGGTCCCAAAACTGATTGCTTTGGAGGTACTCCTACAAAGTTAATATTTAGTAACAATAATTTTCATTCTTGTATTAAACACTGGTCCCACAAATTGAATGCAAGGTACTCCCTACTGCACAGTTCTGGGAAGGGTTCCTCCCATTTCTTAAGTACTACTTTAGGTCTATGATGAATACTTTCCCCATAGCCTCTACGGGTGCATACACACAAGAGCTTTGCGGTGCCTCAAAGGCTTTTGAGGCATTGCAAAACATACCCAAAACATGTGATTTGGTTCTCCACGCTGCACATTTTCAGTGCAGAGCCAAATTTAGATACCAGGACATCCCAGTATTAAAAAAATGCACAGAGAAAAAAAAAGCAGGGCGGTGCACATGGCAGCATCGTATGTCACCAGAAACCAGAGCCTGGCCAGCTAGAGCCACACTCCAGCTGTCAACCAGGCTCCATGCACCTGGATTGCCGCCGCTGCAGCCCCAGGAGGCCCCCAGAACCCCAGGTAAGGCTGCTGGGATCAACCCAGCTGCTGGCTTCAGCCTCCCCTACCCCACGCAGGGCAAACACAAAATCAAGCCTACGCATCTTTCTAAAAGCTATCCTATAGCTCAAACAGAAGTTCTGAGATTGATGCAGAAGTTACTGGGTGAGGTTTTATGGTCTGTGCTTTAAAGGTCACTGTAAATCAGGACTGTCCAACTTACTTGGTCCTACAGGTCAGAACCAGATGGCAGAGCTTCACAGGCCAGATGACTCACCTCTGGTGGCAGGGCAGCAGTGTGCCAGTACAGCTGCCAGAGCCACTGCACTGGTGCAGCTCCAGAACCCAGGTGGATGAACACAGCCACCGCCTGTCCCCACCTTTCCCCCTGTTGCAGATCTACAGTAACGAAAGACCCCCAAATCAGCAGCAGGCAAGGGGATTGGAGGACAAGTGGCAGTGGTGTTCACCCCCTGGGTTCA